GAAGGACCAAATTAGTCGAGCTCTTGAAATCCAGAATGTTGGGTGGATTAATAAATATTTGGGATTCTTATCTATCTTGGGCAGTCCAAATTTTTCTTCTTCAATTTTCTGATGGATTAAGTCTCATCCAAAGTGAAGACCATAAAAAGTGATCTAATGTCCAAAGCTGGTAGAGAAGTCTTGGTGAAGTCAGTAATTTTTGCGCTTCCAAACTCCATGCAATGCTTTAAACTCCCCCTGTCGGTGATTTTAAAGCTTAGAAGTAATTTGATTAATTTTTGGTGGGGAGGGAAATTGAGTTCCATGAAAATGAAGTGGATCAAATGGGATACTCTATGTGAGATAAAGTTCGATGGTGGTCTGGATTTTTGAAAACTAGAAGCCTTTAATCTGGCCATACTTTTGAAAATGGCATGGCATCTGGAGATTGAGGACAATTCTTTATTGGTTAATACTCTCAAACAAAGTATTTTAGACATATTACTTTTCTGCTATCTGATTGTAAAAGGAGTGCTTCTTGGATTTGGAAGAATCTTAATGCCACCAAACCCATAATCAATTTGGGTTTAAGGTGGAGAATTGGTGACAGACAGTCTGTTGATATTTGGTTTGACCCTTGGTATGCTCATTTTAAAATCTCTTTGAAGAGAAATGGGTTATTAATCCAGAGGGTGTCTGAGTTGACTGATACGCCGACTCATTATTGGAAGACGGATGTTATCAACACTAGTTTTAATCTCCGTGATAGAGGGAGGATTTTGCAAGTCCCTATCAGTTTAGCCCAGACTAAAGATAAGAAGTATTAGGTTGGACGAGGTTAAGGGTTTTCTCTGTCAAGAGTGCTTATTTTGTGGCTTTACGGTACATAAAGGGATGTAATTTGGCTAGGCAAGTGCATGTTCCCCCAGAAATTGAGTGCAGTTATTCCTCTCATTTCATGAACATGTGGAAGGATGTTTGGAAGATTTTGGCTTTTGGGAAAGTTCAATTCTTTTTGTGGCAATATTTACATGAGTAGATTTCTGTGAATACAAACTTGAAAGCTAGAAGGATGGTGGACAATTCGGTATGTACGAGATGTTACCTCGATGCTGAATCAGTGGGTCATTTGTTGTGTCTTTGTCCTGATTCTCAAATTGTATGGAAGATGAGTCATATTCGATTGGATTTTAGCAATTCTGGTTCTTTATTTTAGCCCAGACGATGGTGTTCACTAGTGGAAATTTGGAAAGTGAGTGGTGTTTTTCTTGAATGCGGGGGTCTAGCCACTTTCATTTATTGGAATATATGGAAAAGTAGAAATACTTGGGGGTTTCATTCAACAAAGATTGATCCCAAAGTAATTCTAGATAATGCCTTGAGAAAGTTTCATGATTTTGTTTCAAACTGTTGTTTAACTGAAATAGGTTTCCGAGGATTTCTTTTCACCAGGTGTAATTACAAATAGCCCAATAACTTTATATTCCTCAATTGGATCGAGCTTTTTACTCGAATGAGTGGTTGCTTAAGTTTCCCCAAGCCTCGTTATCTCACCGTGCTGTCTCTGGTTCAGATCATTGGGCTTTGTTACTTTGTCTAAATCATTTTATGGTCTCCACAAAGAAGCAATGGCATTTTGATGCTAGATGGCTTAATCATCCCCATTTTAGTGACGTAGTCAAAGAGGTTTGGTTCAATCCGGTGTGTGGTTCTATATAATTCACCCTCCAACAAAAATTAGCTCACTATAAATCTACCCTTCAACGGTGGAGTCGGACTTAAGGCTTTTATTTGGATGTGAAAATTAAGGTGCTCCAAAGCAAGCTTAGAGAGCTAAAGGATTGTGATGATGGGCATCGAGATGCTGAGATTTTCAAATTGGAAATAAAACTCGGGGAAGCTTAGTGAGCAGAGGAATTATTTTGGAAACAAAAGTCTTGGATTAAGTGGCTTCACCACTGTGACACCCCTCGATTCTAGAGCCATGGGTGATCAAGTCCGAGCACAGATCTGAGGGATACCAGACAATCAATATGTAAACAAGTAGGAATAAAAACTGAATTAAGAATAAAATAATAATGCGCTAAAAGAAATCTAAAATAAAAATCCTTTAACTTTAAATAATAATTTAATATCATTTAAAATTCTTTATTTCATACAACTCGGGAATCCATCTGATAGACCCCTAATAATCCCCAAATGAAAATAATTTACATACTGATATCCAAAGCTAATATAGATGATTATGTTCTTATGGCAACTTCGTGTTCAGGTATGTCATTTAATGACAGTTAGATTCTTGATTCAGGTTGTTCTGTTCATATTTGTCCTAATAGGGATTTTTTTTCCTCCTACAAATAGGTGAAATGTGGTTCTCATTTGACGGCAGATGGAAAAACCTTCAAAATTTTAGGAATTGGAACATTCAAGATCAAGATGTGCGATAGGTTAGTGAGAACATTGTCAAGTCTACGACATGTACCGGATCTAAAAAAGAGCCTTTTTTTCAGTAAGTGCATGTGCTAGACTCCAAAGGTTACAAGGTTGTAACAGAGGGTAGAGTTATGAAAGTCGTGATGGGTTCTCTTGTGGTGTTACAGGGAATTAAGGTGGGAAACTTATATATTTTTCAAGGGAATACATGATACAGTAACAGGTGGAGCTATTATTGGGTCTTCTATAATAAGTATAAATCTGCATTCGTGTCTTAGAAAATGAGGATTTATAGAGAAGATTGATGATCTTAGTTCTCAAAAGGGTTGTGAGGGGGCTACATAACATTATGGAAGAATGAAATCTGTTTTCAGATGGCAACCGAAATTGTAGCAGTCCTTGCAGGGAGGCAGACCTATTAAGACAGATATGGTGGTGACTTGTAACAATCTTGGTGGCAATAACATAGCCCATTTGAGTGCCATTAAGATGCATGGGAACAAGTAGTTAATCACAGTAGAGATACAAGGGAAGTTAGGGACGTCCTATTCTCCACAAGGATGAGAAGATGACTTTTCATTACCAACCGAAGGTTTTGTGGGCGGTTGGTGAAGGTTGCTAAAAGAGATGTCAGACTTTGAGTTTCCGATGATGCTTTTGATAAGAATTTAAAGATTGACAAAAATACTGGAGGCATGCTTGTGGCTGCGCAATACATGTTTGGGTTGAAGAAGGAGATCCCAAGGGTTAGGCTTAAGGAGGACTCAAACTTAACTAAAATTCTTCATTAATTGGGTTTTTTGATGGCAATGATGATGACGTTTTTTATGATTATTACTTACATTCTAGTGGAGAAAGTCTCTTTACGGTGGTGCCTTATCATTTGTGTCAAAGTGGAGAATAGGACGTCCCTGACTTTCCCTTGCATCTCTAATGTGATCAATTACTTGTGCCCATGCATCTTAATGGCACTCAAATGGGTTATGTTATTGCCACCAAGATTGTTACAAGTCACCACCATATCTGTCTTAATGGGTCTGTCTCCTTGCAAGGACTGCTACAATTTCGGTTGCCATCTGAAAACGGATTTCATTCTTCCATAATGTTGTGTAGCCCCCTCACAACCCTTTTAGTTTTTTTGCCAAACTAATTAATTAGTGTTTAATTGGGCCTTGAATTCATAAGTCAAAACAGGGAAGGATTAATTAGGAATCATTAACACTATATTTGGTTTGCATGAATAGAATGGAATGGAATCTAAGTTGAAATGGAATGATCATTATTTTATTGTTTGGCTGCAAATATGAAATGTATAGGAATGTAATGATAATAACATTATAATATTTGGTCAAACAAATTTAAAATTTAGATCAAATTAAATGAATTTCAAATTGAATTCTTCAAAATACCCTTCTTAAATGACAAATAAAATAAAAAGCTTGCAATCTCTCTAGCTTAATTCCTTAGAAATAGCTTGTTTGTTTTTAAGGGCCACCCACATCGCAAAGTTATGCATGGGGATGTTTCTTTTGAACCAGACTAAGCTAACCCAAGAAACAGAAGGGGATGCTATTTCTAAGAACACAATTCCGGACTAATGGAAAGCTTGTCTCACTGTAACCACACATAACAATGGATAGTGTCACCAATATCCTATAAAACCACCTTTCTTTTACGCAGTACATATCATTAACAGAAAACAAATAAACAATATTAAATGCAAATATAAAAATTGTTGGTTAATTTTGATAAGATTGAAATAAGCAATTTTAGAATAAATAAGCCTATTGTAACGGATGAACACTTACCCATTTATCTAAAAGTTTAAGTTGTTAGGTATTGTTCCATAGCCACCCATTTATACCTAATCGCTCTCTCATCCGAATCTAATGTGAAATAAATCTCCTCTTGTAACATTTTCCTTCACCCGAACTCGCAACACTGTCGTTAAAGTCGGGTCACCCTGTCTACCCGGGTGGCTCACCCAAATGCCTTTCGGGCCGGGCGCTTAGCGTGATACCGAATCAAGGACTGGGTCTAACTCTAATACCAACTGTAATGGATGAACGTTTGTCCATTTATCTAAAAATTTAAATTATTGGATACGATTACATACTCACCCATTTATACTCAATCTGTAACATGTATCCAAGTATGTTAGAAAGTCTATGGTACTTTATATGGAGAAACGATGCTCTCCAGGTAAATCTCCGCTTCACACTTGATACCTGTGTGAATCTTTTTTCAGATTGTATCCAAGCAGCCACCTTTCTTCTTAAATGCTGTGGTGGACCAAACATTAGTCCAAGACTTTCTCTTGCCCTATTCCTTCATCACCCAAAACTCTCTAAAAGGTATAAGATCCCGAAATATGAAACTGATAAAAAGACATCCTCTGAGAACTACACACGTCAACAGACTACTTTGAAGATCATCTGGTAAAGGCATGTATCGAAATTTCTCCCCTGCTAAATCAAAACAAATGATGATGCTCTCATACGGTCTCAATCAATGAAGAACTCCATTGAGAAGTATACATTCAACATCGAATTGTGTCTTCAAGTTGGGGCAATCAATGAGCATGGTCATTTCTGTGTAATCTTATTTATTTTATTTTACATAAATAAGATGCTAATGTGATGGAGTTGTTTACTCGATAAGAAACACTTCATGGTGTCATTACAAAAAAATATTGATCTCATTCGGTGAAACCAAAATTCTCTACATTACAATACATGCTTTAAACAAAGAAGACTTCTAAGGGTTTCAAACAGTGGTAAAAAGGCATACAAGTTTTAGCACTTTCGCCTTTCAATCGCTCCTCATTATGACCTGTTCAATTGCCTTGAAGAATGTCCCTCACAAGATTCAGCTCATGAACGGCATTACTTATATCCATTCGATCTTGCGGTGCTTCCATAGAGCATGCAACTCCAATCTTGATCATAGATATGACACACTCTTTCTGGATATCATTTTTTGATTTTATCGGTAACCTAATTTTATTGGGCACAACTGCTTTCTCTTCTTCATCAATGTTCATAAGCATCGGATGTGCAATCTCTATAACACAATCAGGCAAGGCCATCTTTGCAAAGCTATGAAGATTAAGGCCTTCCACGAACATACCGTCAGTAGGCCTCTTTCCGGTCATCATCTCCAATACCAAGACTCCGTAACTATATACATCTCCTTTTGTTGACACTTGGCTTCCGAGACCATACTCTTATCATTTGAAAATTGAATGAAAAGAAAAAAAGAGGAAAAACAAATTAATCACAAAGCTGGAAAGTGCATATTCCAAAAATTAGAAAGCATTTGTGTTCATGGACTAAAACAAACTTAAAATTTGTTTAACAAAGTTATACATTATTTGGTATGACACTATTCCGACCAATTAACAAGAGAGATCAGCGTGCGCAAACACACACAAGAAGATGAGAAAGAGATGGATAATAATAATAATAAATTCAATATAAATATATATATATATATAACAAACAAACTATAGTTTACTGTAATTAGGTACCTGGAGCCACATAGCCAACAGTTCCTCTTATTGCAATTGAATTGCTTTGCTTTGGATCTGAAAGTTGTTGGATAAACATTGCTACCCCAAAATCTCCTACATGAGCAACCATGTCACCATCAAGGAGCACATTACTTGGCTTTAAGTCACAATGAACGATTGGCGTTTCACAGTGATTGTGGAGATATTCTAGTGCACTAGCCACATCAATTGCAATGTTTATTCTTTGAAGCAGATTTAGGCTCCGAATCTCATTCTGTCCAGTTTCTGTTTCTGGATCAGATTTCAACCACTTCTCTAGACTTCCATTGGACATGAACTCGTAAACTAGAGCCTTGAAATCATTACCATGAAAATCAACACTTGAGCAAGAAGTTATGACCTTTAACAAATTCCTATGTCGAATATTTCTCAAGGCTTCGCACTCTGTCATGAAACTTTTGGAAGCTCCTCGACGTTGGAGGTTTAATACTTTGACCGCAACAACAGATGTTTCATCTTCATCAAGCATTCCTTTATAGACAGAGCCATAACTCCCCACACCAATCAAATTGGCTGCAGAAAACCCATCAGTTGCTTTGAGGAGCCTTTCATAAGACACTTTCAAGAATACTTCCTTCGTAGATGACCCGGAATGTTGACCCTTTCTTTTCTTCTTACAAAACAAAAAACTCACCACCATAGACAGACCTAGTACCGAGCACACTACCGAGACTACTATTATGACTACAAGAAACCTTTTTCTTCCTTTCTTTGATTCTTTGAAGCTGCATTTGGGTAGTTGAAGGTCAGGTATGCCTCCACAAAGCCTACTATTCCCAGCAACTGATATTGCACTAGCATTTTTGAAAACTCCTTCCATTGGTACCTCACCCTCAAAATCGTTAAATGACATATTAAGATTCTTCAGGGAAAAATTCTCCAAGAATCTAGGAACTTGTCCGGAGAAATTGTTCTGAGAGAGATCAAAATCCTGAATTCCTCTCAAGGAACTCAATGATCTAGGAATAGATCCATTGAAGAAGTTCTTGTCCAGGTAGAGGTTTTCCAGGCTACTGCAGCTACCAAGGCTACTGGGAAGTTCACCAGAAAACTTATTCTCGGATATAACCAGTTCACGTAAATTTTTAAGGTTGCCAACCTCTGAAGGGAGGGATCCAGAAAAATGATTATGGCCAAGATCTAGTGCAATTGATAGTGCTGAAACTCCAAAAATCTCTTCAGGTATGGTGCCATTGAGATTATTGTGAGAAAGATTTAGCGACAATAACTTCGTGCATCTTCCAAGACTTGGGGGTATGTTGCCCTCTAATCTATTTGACGCCAAGAAAAGCTCAATCAACAATGAAAGGTTTCCCAAAGAATCTGGAATTCTCCCAAAGAAATTGTTTCTATCGAGACCTAACTGTTGTAAATTTTGTAGATTGCCAATGCTGGCAGGAATTGTGCCCACAAATTGATTATTTTCTAGGCCTAACATAGTTAGGTTGACAAGATTACCAATTGTTGAAGGGAGTTTTCCATAGAAGAGATTTCCACCAAGCGTTAGAGAAACAAGTTGGTTTGAGAGATTACCCACAGAATTCGGCAACAACCCTCTCAGCTGGTTAACATTTAGACTAAATACTTTCAAATTGCTACAGTTGGCCATAGAACTAATGAAGCTCATTTCATCTGGTTCTCCACTTCCTAAATTATTGTATTGCAGTCTAACTGTCACAAGATTGGGAAGACCTCCAAAATTAAATGGTATTTTCCCATTGAAATAATTTCGTTCCATTTGAAGGTTTTCTAATGCTGAACAATTGGATATTGAGAATGGAAGGAGTCCAGTAAATTGGTTACCCCATAATTGAAGCCAGTTAAGATGAGGGAGCATTATACCCAAACTTGGTGGAAGACTACCGCTAAGTTCATTCCCAGCCAAAGACAGAATAGTAAGCATGGAGAGATTATAAATGGAAGGAGGTATTGTACCGGAGAGTTTATTGCCACCAAATCCGAATTGTCTTAGGTTTTTCAACTGACCCAAGATATCGGGAAGACTTCCTCCAAAATTATTTCTAGCAGCAGATACACTTTCTAGGGACGTAAGATTCCCAATGGAAAGAGGGATGCCTCCTGTTAAATAGTTCTTGTAAATGGCAAGACTTTTGATCTTGTTCAAGAAAGCAAGCTCTTTTGGAAATTTCCCAACCAACTTATTGTTACCTACAAGAAGGTGTGTCAGGTCGGAGCAATGGGATAGGTTGGCTGGAATTTCTCCTTCAAAGTGGTTAGAGCTCAAATTCAATCTCTGCAGCCTGAATAATTGACTAAGTTGAGGAGGGATCTCACCTTGAAGGGTGTTGTTGTCGAGCCTTAGCATCCGAAGGAAGCTCATGTTTCCGATATGAGGAGACAGAGAGCCCACTAAGCCTTTGGACCCAAGATCCAAAATAGTGACTCTTCTGTGCCGGTGACCACATTTAACACCTTCCCACTCGCAGAAATGGAAGGACTCATTATTCCAGGAGCTCAAGACCCATTGAGGGTCATTAATAATCATGGACTTGAAAGCTAGCAATGCAAGATGATCAGTATTGTTTCCACCATTGGTACTAGTGGCGGTTGCAGCATGGAGAGTTGTAACATGGAGCAAGGTAATGAACAATAGAAATGTGATTAGCATGTGAAGTGAGCGCGATGGTGCTGAACTCATTTCTGAAAGTGGAAGGACTGTTTCTTTGATTTCTAACAAGATGATCAATCTTTGATATATGAAAGTGGAACAACGACTCAATCAGAACAGTGTGCACCCTCATAGTGTACACACTCTTACTAAGAAGAGGAGAGTTTTAAATGTTTCTCAACAACTTCTTGTATAATGGTCCCATAACGAGCCGAGTCCATAGAAAATTAAAGGAAGAGGCAATGACAACATTAGCTGATTATGTTGGAAGCATTTTAGCCATTCATCCATTAGCTGATACGACCTCCTTTGTCTAGTTGTTAGGTATTCCTTATTCTCCATGGGAATTTCTGAATTTTGGTTAACCATTTTGTTGACCTAAAGGCTACCTAACCTTGCTGACTTTCCTTTGCGGAAGCCATCTTAGTTTTTTTTTTTTTTTTTTAGTTAAAAGGAAACCATCTTAGTTGAGCCTTCCCTCTTTGCTTTTGCTGAAGTATTCACCACAACACGCAATCAAATGTGGTTGGCTGAATGAGACATGGTGGTTCTTATATAAGCTTGCTCTGTCAATGGTTGTTGGAGGAACTAATGAGACCACTGGTGATACTATGTTATCGGTGTCATCAATCAATTATATCCGGTCACATAAGTAGAATTGCATTTACTAATTAAATATATGTAGAACCGTAGCCTTTGCAAACCTGGCATTTAATCCATGTATACAGTCAACAAAATAATTAGAAAGTATAACAGCAACAATGAGATAAAGTCTACAAAAGAACATATAGAACATACGAAGCAGATCAACAAGAACAATTCCCACAAACATTAGCAACAATTTGATCAATAGGCCATTCAACCAGTGATGGACCAAGGAATTTTGTTGATAATGGACACTACTAAATAATAATAGATATTAAAAAAAAAAAAATTAAAAAAAAAAAAAAAAAAACGTAACTTATTTTAAACAAAATAATAAATATAAAAAGTTATATTGATTATAAAGAGAAAACAACAATTAGGATAGTGAAGGAATGAAATGGAGGGGCTGTCAAGGGTGGGTAGCTAGCTAGCTTGTTTTTAAGGGTCACCCCTACCACAAAGTTGTGTTTGGGGATTTTCTTTTGAACCAGACTAAGCCTAACCCATGAAACAGAAGGGGATGCTGACCACAACTCTGGACTGATGGAAAGCTTGTCTCACTGTAATCACACATAACAATGGATACCGTCAACAATCCTATAAAACCACTTTTTTTACATGGTGCATCATTACCAAAAAAAACAAATATTAATTGCATGTATAAAAATAATATGTATTCCAAGACTTATAAATATATAAACAAAGGCACTGTGTTACTAACTCAGTGGACAGTGGTTTATGTTATTGACTTTGTTCCAATACATATATATATATTAAATGTGCCAGAATGAAAAATATTTTCTAGTACATTATAAAGTCTATGGTACTTCATATGGAGAAACAATGCTTTGTAGGTAAATCTATGCTTCACAGTTTGTATTAGGGTTATTGTCAAGCACTTGATACTTTCTCAATAGGGTAGGCTAATATTTAACATAAATTTAATAAAAAAAAATTTAAGCCAAAAAAAAAAAAAAAAAAAAAAAAAAGAAAAAAAGAAAAAAAGAAAAAAAGAAAAAGCTCTTCTAACCTAGCAAGATGGTGCTGAACTCATTTATGATAGTTGAACGACTTTCTTTGATTTCTAACAAGATGTTCAGTCTTTATATCTGAAAGTGGAAGGACAACTCAATCAGAACAGTTTGCACCATCATAGTGTACACACTCTTACTAATAAAGGGAGAGTTTTAAATGTTTCTTGAGGACAACTTGTCTAACGGTCCCATATCGAGCTGAGTCCATAGAAAATTAAAGGAAGAGGCAATGACAACATTAGCTGATTATGTTGGAAGCATTTTAGCCATTCATTCAATAGCTGATACGGCAAATTCTAATGGACATGAACTAGTCAATGCCATACAGAGCCATTCACCACCAATTTGGACCATAAGAGGGTTTCATTGATTTTTCAGAAAATGAGACTATTCACCACAACACAGACTTTCTAGGTAAGCTGATTAATGAATTTGATTCAAGCACTATTACCAGCAATCAAATGTGGTTGGTTGAATGTAGGGATGACAAATGGGTGGGTTAGGTCTGGTTTGAATTGGGTTGAAAATGGGCGGTTCAATATGCATCAAGACCCATATTTAACCCATTCTGAAAGGGTTGAAAATGAACGGTTGAAAATGGTAGGCTCAACCCTTATGACCCGTGGACTCATTAATTATTATTTTTAATTATTTTTATTTTTTTAATTTTTTATACTTTTAGAAAAATAATGAAAATTTAGTAATGGGAGGATAAGTAATTTTTTAATATTTTTATACTTTCAGAAAAATAAAATAGGATTTTAATTTTTTTATACTTTCAAAAAAATAATAAAAATACTGTATGAGGATAACAAAAGTTCAAGCAAACATATGTAATAAATAATCTTTTTATTTTATTCCTAATCATATTCATATATATATATTTTTTTAAATCCTATTCACATCATACCGAATCCGTATTCATGAGAACCAGTTTTAATTAATAGAATTTGGTTCTCGAAGAACATCGCTGATGCGGAATTAGGTGCACAAATCTCTGCTACTTCATAATTCTTTATTCGGTAATTGGCGGCATTACTTTAATAAGAAAGGCATGACCTTCACGTGACATCACATGCCTTCGTTACAAAAATTTGACACATACATGTAATATATTCTACTAATATATATATATATACACACACACACATATAGAATTACGTATCTAGTTCTTTACAAGATAATGCTAGATTATGAAGGGCCAGGATGAAATTATTAAAGTGATTTTAGAAATTAAATACTGTACGAGGATAACAAAAGTTCAAGCAAACATATGTAATTTTTTTAATTTTTTTAAATTTTTCTAAATTTTTAATTATTTTTTCAATTTTTTTAAAATTTAATTATTTATTTTTAATTATTTTTAATTTTAAATTTTATTTATTTATTTTAATTTTTTTTTAAAAAAATTTAATTAGTTTTTATTTTAAAATTTTTTTTTTAAAAGGCTTTAATTTTTTTTTAATTTTAAAATTATTTTTTAATTATTAATTTAAATTATTTTTTAATTTTTTAAAATTTATTTTTTAATTATTTATTTTTTTTAAAAGAAATTTCTAGAGAAAGAAACCTAGAGAGAGGGAATTGATGAGAGACAAATTTAGAGGGAGGGGACTGTGAGTGAGAGAATTTTAGAGAGAAATGAGTTGAGTGCAATATAGAAAAGATGTGTGTTTGTGTGTTTATTATGTAATGGGTGAAATATGGCATATTCAACCAATCTTAACCTTCAAATTAAATGGTTAGAAATTACCCAACTCATCTTGACCCTCAAATTAAATATGATTCATCTATAATCATTAAAAAAACGGATATGGACAGGTTGATGGTTCATGACGCTTTTTGTCACCCCAAGTTGGATGAGACATGGTGGTTCTTATATAAGCTTGCTCGGTCAGTGGTTGTTGGAGAAACTAATGAGACCACGATAGTGATTCTGTAATCAAGGTATTTTTATAAAGATTTTTTTTTGCACCGGTGATATCATGTCATCTGTGCCATCAATCAATTACATCTAGTCAAATAAGTAGAATTGCATTTACTAACTAATTAAATGTATGTTGAATCGTGACCTTTGCAAACGTGGCAATTAATCAACGTATACAGTTAACAAAATCATTAGAAAAGTATAGCAGCAAAAATGAGATGAAGTCTACAAAAGAACATATGAAGCAGATCAACAAGAACAATTTCTACAAACATCAGCAACGATTTGATCAATAGGCCATTCAACCAATGATGGACCAAGGAATTTTGTTGAGAATGGACACTACTGAAGAAAAATAGATAATTTAAATAAATAAACACATAACTTATTTTAAATAAAATAATAAATATAAAAATTTGTATTGATTTTCAGAGAAAACAACAATTAGGATAGTGAAGGAATGACATGAATGGGCTGTCAAGGGTGGGTAGCTAGCTAGCTTGTTTTTAAGGGTCACCCGTACCACAAAGTTGTGTTTGGGGATTATCTTTTGAACCAGACTAAGCCTAACCCATGAAACAGAAGGGGATGCTGACCACAATTCTGGACTAATGGAAAGCTTGTCTCACTGTAATCACACATAACAACGGATACTGTCAACAATCCTATAAAATCATCATTACCAAAAAATCAAATATTAATTGCAACACTTTGTGTTAGGGTTATTGTGAATCACTTCTTTTGTCGCTTGATTTTGGCCTGGACATATTCTCTCCATTCACTTGATTTTCCTTAGCAACCATTTACTTTCAATGGTTAAGGATACCTGTATGAATCTTTTTTCTGATTGTATCCAAGCAGCAACCTTCCGTCAACAGAAAATAGATCTTCTTCATCACTGTATGAGAAATTCAGTATCTTTATGCTATTAAAAGCTGTGGTGGACCAAACATTAGTCCAAGACTTTCTCTTTCCGTATTCCTTCATCACCCAAAACTGTCTAGAAGGTATGAGATCCCGAAAAATGAAACTGATACAAAGACATCCTCGGAGAACTCCACACGTCACCTCTGTAAATAGTGGACTACTTTGAAGATTACTTGGTAATGGCATGTATCGAAACTTCTCTGCCAAATCAAAACAAATGATGTTGCTCTCATATGGTCTCAACCAATGAAGAACTCCATTGAGAAAAATAGCGTCAACATCACGAGTCAAACCCTCACGAGGGGAGTCTTGAATCCTTCTCCAAGAATTTGTTTTTAGTGTATATACACTGGTTGCAGTCTGAAAGTCTTAGGAGTCTCGATCAAAGAATGCCGAGGTTGCTACCACTTTGTAATCATCAATAGAAGCATCAAAACCAAATCCATACGAGAAACTAGAATGTATATGTTCAATTCGTGATGATAAGACTGGTAATGTATTGAGCTTTTCCGTTGAAGGGTTGAGCAAGTAAAGCCTATCGGGAACTTGAGTTGCATATAATACCAAGCCATCACAGGAACCCACGATTTTGGCATTTATACCCCTGATACCAATATTGTGAATGGGTCTGTGATCATCAGTACCACATGTTGGCATTACGAGGAGTCTAGGGTATGAAGCGCGAGACTTACATGAAACGATGAGTTTGCGGTTTTGGGATCGGCTGAGGTGTTTCTTGACAAAGTCAGGGTTAGTGGACAGAGTGAGCAACGACTTGCGCACACACTTGAATCGTAAAATAGACTTGACGGGTAACCATGAGAGTATGTTGAATATCAGATCATAGGGAAGGAATGGTAATGGCGCCGACTCATCTCTTTTCCCTCTCTTCATGGCTTCCAAACCTCACTGTTAAACCCTCTCTCAGGTGTTGGATCGAATTATTGAATCAGCGAAAGCCAAGCTCTCATCGCTGCAACTCAGTTTGCTTAATCAATGACTGGGATCTTCATATTTCTTGCCTTCGTCCCCCCTAGGCCTCCGGACGGCGTTATTCAAGCTTCTCTCCGGCAGCAACAACGTAGGGTCTGAATTATTTGCTTCTCTCTTGCCCAAGGGATCGTTATGCCCTAGCGCATGTGAATGGCTTTTTGTAACAGATGGGGATGGACCTTAGTTCACCTTGGGCTTGCACCTTAGTTCACCTTGGGCTTGCTTCTTTCTTTGATTGCCTTCTTGGGCTGGGTTTGAGGGCTTAGTTCCCTTTTGTTTTGGTTTGGGCTATTTTAGTCCTTATTCATTCTGTACATATATTAATTTGCCTTATTTTCCCCAAAATAATAATAATAATAATAATAATAATAATAATACTCCCTCCATTCCAAAAAAAGAAAAGTATTTCTTCTGAGGAATCGCGACTTTCAATTTGTAAGAGTCACCGTTCCCCAAAATAGACACTCTTTTTGGGAGGAAGGGAGTAATATATTAAGAGACTGTTTTAGCGAAACACTAAGGCATTGTTTGGATAAACTGGACACAAAAGAAATGAAATGATAATATGAGAGAAAAGAAAAACTGCAATAACCTCTATTAATGTTTGAATATATTATGAAAGAAAATAAATGGTAGTATTCTTCTTGAATCTCTATGGGGTTGGTGTGCCAATAAAATAAATCATCACTTTCAAATTACCTAACAAAATTCAAATTACAAATTATCTAATAAATATATACTATTATAAAAACACATATTTATTAATTAATATAAAAATAGTTTTATAAACAGAATTTTAGAAATTCTAAAATTTACCTAATGAAATCAATCACCACATTCAAATTACCTAATAAAATTCAAATTACAAATTGCCTAGTAAAATTCAAATTACAAAACTAGTTTTTATAAAAAGAGTTTTTATAAAATTATAAAATATTTATTAATTAATATCATATTAGTTTTATTATAAAAATAGTTTCTATAAAACTCTAAAAATCATAAAAAAAATATTTATTAATTAATATAAAAAGCGTTTTTATAAAAAGAGTTTCTATAAAACTCTAAAAATTACCTAATAAAATAAATCACCACTTTCAAATTACCTAATAAAATTCAAATTACAAATTAAAAATTACTTAATAAATCTATATTATTATTGAAAGAGTTTCTATAAAACTTTAACACAAAATATAAACAAATATCTCCACTTTAAAATTACCTAATAAAATTTAAATTACAGATTACCTAATAAAATTCAAATTACAAAAAGAGTTTTTATAAAAAGAGTTTCTATAAAAATATTAAATATTTATTAATTAGAATAAAAAAATCTATACTATTATTAAAAGTGTTTCTATAAACTCTAACACAAATTACAAAAGAATATTTATTAATTAATATAAAAATATTTTTTATAAAAAGAGTTTCTATAAAATTATAAAATATTTATTAATAAATATAAAATATTTTTTAATATAAACTATAAAAGAGTTTTTATAAAACTACTTTCTATAAAACTCTAAAAATTACCAAATAAAATCAATCACCATTTTCAAATTACCTAATAAAATTCAAATTACAAATTACCTAATAAATCTAATTTCTGTAAAACTCTAACACAATATATGAAAACAAAGATAGTTTTTATAAAAAGAGTTTCTATAAAACTATAAAATAATTATTAATTAATACAAAATATTTATTAATTAATATAAAAAGAGGTTTTATAAAAAGAGTATCTATAAAACTCTAAAAATTAGCTAATAAAATCAATCACCACTTTTAAATTACCTAATAAAATTCAAATTAAAAATTACCTAATAAATCTGTACTATTATTAAAAGAGTTTCAATAAAACTCAAACACAAAATATAAAAAAATATCACCATTTTAAATTACCTAATAAATTCAAATTACAAATTACCTAATAAAATTCAATTTACAAAAAGAGTTTTTATAAAAAGAGTTTCTATAAAACTATAAAATATTTATTAATGAGTATAAAAAAATCTATACTGTTATTAAAAGAGTTTTTATAAAACTCTAACACAAAATATATATAAAAAAAATTATTAATTAATATAAAAATAGTTTCTATAAAACTATAAAATATTTATTAATTAATATAAAATATTTATTAATTGATATAAAAAGAGTTTTTATCAATAGGGTTTATGAAAATAGTTTCTATAAAATTCTAAATATTACCTAATAAAATTAATCACCATTTTCAAGTTATGTAATAAAATTCAAATTACAAATTACCTAATAAATCTATTTTTTATAAAATTATAACACATATCATACTTAGATGATTGATCCATCAATGAAAAACCTTATTTTGTTTCTTTTGAGGTGACCATTATTACTCTCTAAACATTGTTGATATGAATTCATTTAATATATGACAATATCATACAATGAAAATTATAAACAATTAAAAAATATATAAAAAGAAAAATTCGATAAGTTACAAAATATTCACCACGTGTAATGCACGTGCCTTTTCCTATTAAATGTTGACACATAATGATGGGATCCACTGAAGTAATATAAATACAATTTTTACATATCTGATGAGATATAAATTGGTAGTTGACACCAATGACATGGTATCACCATAAGTCTTTCTCCTCAACTGATAAATACTTTATTACAAATAATTTATTACCCTTTACTCAGGGATCTTGTATAAAAAATAAACAAACTTATTATGTTACCTTTAGTTTTTAAATAACAAATATAGCCGGGGAAGTTTTGACTAGGGATGTCAATTTAACCCGGGCTGACCGTCCCCTCTTTCCTATTGGAACGAAGGAGCATCCTAATAGGGTTATGAGTTGGTTTAAAATCCGACAAACGCTGAATCCAACCCGATTAATAAAAAATATTTTTTTATTTGTTATAGTTTTTCTTTTCCCTTCATTACTTAAGATAATTTTAATTTTCACAACAATTTTGTTATTATGATTGTTAAATATTATGTGAAACTTTTTCTTCCCATAGGCTTTATTTTCTCAATCCTTCTACGTAATTGTTTGATGACACCGATAACATGGTATTACCTACAGAAAATTTTGTCTCCTTAGTTGATAAGAATATGACATTGATTGAAAAATCACAACAGATGACTCATTAATTACCCCAACAAGCATTGAATGAGCCAGCTTGTAAGAGAGCCACCATGGTGTACATCTCATTCTGTAACGACCCAAATTCACCGGATCCGGATCGCTAATCAGGTCCTTATCTGACCCGAAGTCATCCAAGGGTAACACAGTCATTTCCCGTAAATTAATAGTTTAAGGCCCAACAAGGTCAAAATAGTCCTTTAACACACACACACACATATACATTTATATATAACAGTTTAAAACCCAAAAAGGGTAAAACGGTCATTTACTAAGGTCATCCAATGATTAGGATGAAGTCCAGGGGTAATATGGCCATTCCCGTTGTTAAAATATAATTATTGTATTTTACTAGATCACACGGATCCGGATCGCTAATCGGGTCCTTCTCCGACCCAAAGTCATCCAAGGGTAACCATGGTCATTTCGCGTTAAATTAATAGTTTAAGACCCAACAAAGTCAAAATAGTCCTTTAACACACACACACACACACACACACATATATACCGGTTTAAAACCCAAAAAGGGTAAAATGGTCATTTACCAAGGTCATCCAATTATTCGGATGAAGTCCAGGGGTAATATGGTTATTCCCGTAGTTAAAATATAATTATTATATTTTACTAGATCACGTGGTGTGCAATAATATCCTTAAGTGATTAGAAGAGTGCAAAAATGAAAAATAATTTACAAGGGAAAAATAATAGGTACCGGTCGACGCCTAACACTTACACGTCGATTGGTTTGGGTGAATCGGTCGACGTAAACCCTTTCACATGGATTGGTTGTGCCGTGTACAGCAAAAAAACCTACTGTATAAAATATTGAGATAGCGGTCGACGTGTCGGTATGTATACGTCTACCAAAACTTCCCAGGATTTGAATTTTTTTGTTACATAAATTCCTCAACCAACCGATAATACAACCACTAAACACGCCACATAAATACCACAAACTAGAACAAAACACCATTGTATATATATATATAAATATATACACTTGCGTGAAAAACAATAATTTTAGGCTTATCCACACCCACGTGCTATGAAATACACAACTATATCCATATGTGAGGATTTAGTAAGATTAAATTTAATTACGTCCTATGTCAAAATATATCCAAAAGATTACTTATATACTCATCATCATGGTGACAATTTCAAAATAATACAAGTTTGCTCTAGTTATTATAAAAATAATACATCGATTACTAATGATACAAAAATAATGGATTCTTCAACACCAACTACACATGTGGGGGAACATCGTCGAGTACCACCTTGCCGTGACCTAAAAAATAATAAAGAAAGGGGTGTAATGTCCCGAATTTTTCTGAATTTTTTTGAATTTTTATTTTATTTATTTTTCGTGCTTGATTTTGTATGCCATGCGGGCACCGAGGGCGGTTTAGGTCATTTCTCAAGTCGAGGGTTTCAAAAATGCATTTTTATTTATTTTAAGTCAATTAGAGGCGACGGGATTAATTTTAAAAATTTTCGAAAGTCGGAAGTATATATCGAAAGCAAGTGCTAGATAATTTCTTTCTTCCTTTACTTGTTGCTTGGCGATGTAGAATGATGCCCCAGTCAATAGAAAATTATTCAAAATAGTATATTCCTCTTCATTAATGGAATCATTACAAATAGTATGCCCGGCCCCATCAACGTATTTTTTTGTTTTACGTGCTCCGCAACTCTTCCTCAGCCAGGTTGGACAGAATAGCAAAGCAAGTACAAAGTACTTCATTTCTTGGGGTTAAAATAGGATATGTGGTATAAACCTAGTTTTCTCATTTATTGGAGGGGCATTGTTGGTATTTCGCGCACACACACACACACACATAAATATACATTTGTATAGGAAGATATTTATGGGACATGGATGGACTTGGGTTGTTAAGAGAGGGCATTTTGGTAACTTTGACTAAAATTAGAATTGGCCACCATTTTGACACTTCGCAAGAGAAGGGCCACACAAGCTTTGGAAGACTTGGAATACCCCCCCCCCCCCCCCCAACCCAAAAAAAAATCGGCCATCCCCCCCCCCCCCCCCCCAACCCAAAAAAAAATCGGCCATTTCCTCTCCCTCTCTAATTATTATTATTATTATTATTTTGTGAGGACTATCATTTGAGACCACTATTGCTAGGGCTTGGAGGGATTTGGTTTTCATAAGGCCTTGTTTGGCTAGCACACTTTGAGGTAGGGATGTTTAATGTATTGAACTTTGCCTTTTATTGAGTTTATTGTTATTATTTGTGTACTAAGCCTGATTACATGAGACGGAATTGAAGTGGGATGCTATTTATGATTCTAAAAGTGGAAATCCATGCCTAAATGTGTTATTAATGCAACTATGTGTTAAATTGCTCACATGGCTTGCTATGAATGGAACATACTTCATAGAAGATGCTTGAATGGCCATGATTTGTTGTGTATTTCTACAAATTTATTTACCCAATACTTATTACTGACTCTATTCAGTTTGATATTCATTTGGGCACCACAACCAGTCCTAGTCTCAGCTCTTGGGTTCTTCGTCAAGTAGTCCCACTTGTGTTTACCTCAAAAACCCTCCTTGCAACAAACATATAACCTTGAAGTAGCTTCACCGGTGATCGGATTTTTATTATAGTTTTCTTTTGTGAAACTAAACAGTCCTGCGCCCATACTCATTATAAAACTCATAAGCTTTTTGTTGAGTTTCAAACTCCATTCCAAACTTAGGTTTCCAACTAATGTTACCCACGGACATCTCCATATTGGGAACGGATCCTCTCCAAGCAAAATTTGTCTCCTAGCATCTACAAGTAATCTTACGACTGTTAAGGCGCCACATCAATAACTTAATTAACTAATAAATATGCTATCGTTTGGGCTAAAAATGCCATGGTTCTTTCTCATCCAATTAGTTACCTTGCTACAATCTTTTTCTTTTCTCCAATTCACTTCACTTATCGATCTTTTTCTTTTAAAACAAATAATGATAAGAAGATCACTAACATATTAATACATCCTTCCTTATTTTATAATGTCATAAATACTCTTTAAACAACTTTAACTCTTTTTTTTTTTTTTTTTTTTTTTAACCTTTTTTACTTCCTTTACTAAATTCTTTTTTTCCTTCAATAGAAATAATGAAACCACCCCCCCGGGGGGCGTCTCTTGGGTAATTTGTTTTCAAAAGAGATAATTTATTCAATAAAAATAACCCCCTTGGTAATTTGATAATCAATTTTTTTTTTTTGGCCTTAGCAAAAAGAGATAACTTATTTAACGAGTCAATAGACCAGTCTCCCTAACATTAGTAGCATGAGACTCAGGCCATTCCCACTCCCATGTCAGCAACCTTGGCTTCCACTGGAATCCCTGAATCATGAATTACTCTAAGACCCTTAGCTAAGACAGCCATAGGGAAGTATTTTGCCCTGAGTTTATAATATGCTTGAATTTCAGTTTAAGAGCATCTTTGGGCAGCAACATCAGTCTCCAACATCAAAAATTCTTACCTAGCTCTACGAAGATAGGTATGTATCCATTTGCAATTGACCAAGCAACCTTGCATCCACCAATATCAAGGGAAGAGCCCTTCCATAAAAATCTCATCAAAGTTTGATTAATGGGAGCAATGATCTTCTTAGGAAGAATAAACAGAGCGGACCAATAAACTTGAATAGAGAAAAGGATAGACTTAAAACAAGCTATACAGCAGCTTAAAACCTAGAATAGATTTCAAACATACAATGGATACTGTCATTTGGATACTCAATCAGTACAGTGGTTCTTAAATTTAGGCTCTGGATTTCGATGGGATGACTCAACAATCCTATACAATTAACCACTCATTAACAAAAACAAATAAACAATATCAAATGCATATATAAAAATAATATGTATATTTACCGAAAAAAAAAAGAAAAAAGAAAAAAGAAAATATATATATATATATTAATATATGCCAAAATGAATAAGCCTATCTATCTGGTACATTGCAAGTCTATGGTACTTTTTATGGAGAAACCATGCTCTCCAGGTAAATCTCTGCTTCACACTTTGGAGAAACCATGCTATAGTTCGCTGGATACCTGCGCAATGAATTTTTTTCTACATTGTACCCATCCAACCACTTTTTGTTAACTAAAAATAGATCTTCTTTATCACTGTTCGAGAAATTCAGTGACTTTATGCTATCAAATGCTGGGGTAGACCAAATATTAGTCCAAGACTCTCTCTTGCCATATTCCTTCATTACCCAAAACTCTCCGGAAAACTTTGTATTAGTTTGATCCTGAATTATGAAACTAATACAAAGACATCCTCTGAGAACTCCACACGTCAATCCACTGGATGACGGATTTATTTGAAGATCAGCTGGTAAAGGCATGTATTGAAATTTCTCCTGAACTAAATCAAAACAAACGATATTGCTCCAATGTGGTCTTAACCAATGAAGAACTCCATGTAGAAGTATACCAGCTGAACCCCCAATAGGCAAAACAACCTCAAGAGTTTCGACTTGAATCCTTCTCCAAGAATTTGTTTTTAGTGTATATACACTCGTTATAGTCTCAAAATAAGAGACTCCAATGAGGGACGACGAGATTGCCACCACTTTGTAATCATCAATAGACGCATCATAACCAAATCCATATGAGGCTGTAAGTTGTTCAATTGGCGAGGGTAAAACTGGTAATCTATTGAATTTTTCAGTTGTAGGATTCAGCAAGTAAAGCCTATTGGAAGCACCAGCACCAGCACCAGCATCAGCACCAGTTCCATTTAATACCAAGCCATCACAGGAACCTAAGATGTTGACTTTTAAACCCCTGATTTCAGAATTAATATTGCGAATGGGTCTTGGATCATGATTCTCACATGTTACAGAAAAAAAATTGTCAAACTCACATGAAACAATGAGTTTGTGGTTTTGGGATTGACTCAGATGTTTCTTCACAAAGTCAGGGTTGGTGAACAAAGTGAGCCATGACTTGCACACACACTTGAATCGTAAGATAGACTTGACGGGTAACCATGAGAGTATGTTCAATATGAGATCACAGGGAAGGAATGGCAATGGTGGCGCCGACTCATCTCTTTTCTCTCTCGTCATAGCTATCTCAACCCTAACACATATACTATACAAATATATGTGTATTATTGTTTGTGTGTGTATTATTGTATATATAATCCGTACTACGCAAATCTAGCTGTTAAAATTTTGAGACTGTTTCAGGAATATGAAACCCTAATATATCCTTGGAGAAAAAAAAAAAAAAAAAAAAAGTTTCCTATTTGGTTAATCCGTGAATATCAGTGTTATATGTGTATCGTTTAACAAATTTGAAATCCTGATAAATTAGGAAATCTCGAGCGCACCGATTTGGGATTTAAAATAGATTAAAAATAAATAGTTTATCAGGATTACAAATTTGTTGGGATTGAAAATAAATAAAAAGGCCGTTATATAAAGTTCCTGAAAGGGTGGCCCTTACGCTCTGTTTGGAACCAAATCCTTCGGGATTTGGATTTAAAATTGGAAAAGGAATTGGATTGAAATTAAAATGGAATTTCATTTATGTGTTTGGGATAAATTGGAATTTTAACTAAATGAATTACCTTTTTATGTTTGGATACAAAAAAAAAAGAATTGGAATGGAAATATTATTTTTTACCATTTTATCCTTATAGAGAGATGTGTGTACGTATATTTGCATGACATATTGGTACTTAAACCATAATTTTTATTTATAATAATTTTGGCAACTTAAACCACATACTATGAAACGATATTTTAATATACTTCTTTTACTCTTAAATTTTTTATTACTACTATAAATATACATAAATATATACTATAAATATACAAACAATAATATGTTACCATGTATATAAATATTTAAAAAGAGTGAAATAAGCCAATTTGGTCAAATATTCTAAAACATTATGGTCAAACATTATTTGAATTATTAATCAATACTAATAACAAATAAAATATCTAAATGAACTAAAGTATTTTATTTTTCTCTTTGAATTAGCTTCAGCGATTGAACAAAAATAAATAAAATAAAACAAACTAAAAAAAAAAATCCATTCAAGACTTCATAGTCATTTTCCGTAACAACCAATCTTTATGCATATGAACTAGGTATCCAAAAAATCCTTCAACTACTCGATCCGAAATAAGAAAATCATAATTAGCAATAAAAAACTTTTGTCATAATATGTGGTTTAAGTAAAAGAAGATGATATTTTGGTAAAATGAAGATATTTTGAAAAAGAGGATGATATTTTGGTAACTCTAAAAAAAAACTTCTTCTCCCGAATAAAATCATCGTCAAAAAAAGAGGAAAGAGGATGATATTTTGGTAAAATGAAGATATTTTGAAAAAGTTGTTACTCACATCATCACAAATCCCATTAAATTTTACCAATTTTTCCCGGATTTGTTACAACTACGATATTTTCTATCAATTCCGATAAAATCCAATTCCTATTAGAATTCATTCCTTTCCAAACAACATAAATTTAATTCTAAAATCAAATCCCGTGGAATCCTATCATTCCAAACAAAGCCTAAGAGTTTGATGATTGATGATTGGGCTTGAAAGTATACCTGAACCCTTAGGCCCTTTAGAGTCTTAAGATTTTATTTTATTTTTTATTTTTAAACTCAATTTACAAATTCAATGTTGATAATATATTAAAATATATATATATATTTATTTTTTTATTTTCTTGTTTTCTTTTTTTTCTTAGTAGAGATAAGAATTTGTTGCAAGACAACTCACAATTGAGAAGAATCACTAATGACTTCTAAGACAATAGAAGATGAGATGGCCTCCAAAATCAAAAGGCCCTTCTTATGTGTCCCATTTCGAACCCTCAAACACCAATGCATTCCAGGCTTTCCAAATGTACCAACCCAAAAAGCTGATCTTTTTCGCTTTCCCCATGACATAGATTATTCATATTTTTCAAACAAACAACCCAACAGCTATAAATCATTTTTCAAATAAAAAGTGCGCAGAGTAACTTATTTGTATTTTTTTTTTTGAATTTTATGAACTGAAATGCACCTTTTAAAAAAAAAGAAAAATGCAATCTGCACATAACATATATTACACAGGTTTTTCTGCACTTAACCCATATTTATATACCATAATGTATGAGGCTTCATCTAATGATGGCAGAGAAGTTTTGAAGATGAAATCATATTTGAAGCTAGTCACATCAAACTTCAACATCTCCATCGTTGATTTCACAGATGTAATATGTGGTAATCTAATGGAGATCGAGTTGTCGATTTTTTGTCCACTTCGTCTTGGATGCTTGGTTTTCATTTTCATCTTCCATATTCCGAACACTCTTATTGGTCGAAGACTTAGACAACATTGTAGGAAATAGGGGCATTAAAAACATAAACTTTGGATGAGGTTTGGAATAGATTCCGCTAATAATTTTTTGCGGATCTCTAGATGAGCGCGTTTCTCTCCACAAAGAGATGAACGTGGTATATTTACTTTCTCAAATCCGTTTCCAGGTGAATAAAAAATTAGCTCCAAAGTGTGGTGTTTTGATAAACCTAAATGGGTATGCAAAATGTGGGAAGTGTTTCTCCCACATGGAAAAAATGTTGAAACTAATTGAAATTTAAATAAGCCAAACTTGGGCTTGGGCTTGGGCTTGGGCTTGGGCTTGGGATTAGGCCTAATTGTAAAGTTCAATTATTCTTTTTACTAAATGGAATCTTGGATTAGGCCTTTAATTTTGGGCTGGGCTTATTTAAATGGGTAGTTAGTTTTTGAATTTAAATTAAAAGTTAGTTTTTTTTCCCAAAGGATTGCATCTATTTCTAAAGGGTAGCATCTGTTTTTCAAAGAGTTGCATCTGTTTCTAAAGGGTTGCAACTCAAAACCAACAGACATAATTATTCATGTGAACCATTGCAACATATTGGAATGGATGTGTCTATTGGGGAACAGACACCATGTGAACCATTACAACCTATTGGAGTGGATGTGTCTATTGGTGAACAGACACCATGTGAACCTTTGCAACCAATTGGAGTGGATGTGTCCAGTGTGAAGAGACACATATAAATGGTTGTGTCCAATGATGAAGAGATACACCCAATCCGAAAAGGCACATTAATTAAAAACTACTTTTTAGTTTTTTTTCCAAAGGGTTGCACCCAATCCAAAAAGACACCTTGTTGCCTATAAATACCCTCCTTTGGATCATTTGCAAATCATTCATTTTCATTTTCTTCTATCTCCCTCTCTAGACTTGAACCCAACCCAAGTGGGTTCAAACCATAGGTTAAGTGGTCCGAACCACTTAGACCTTAATCCAATTTCATCGAACCATATTAAGATTGGTCCAAACCATTTGGTTCGGATTGCACCCAATTCAGCATTTATATAGTATAGATGCATTTTTGAGTCAGAGAGAGTATTATACGGAGGAGGTTCACCGTATCCACGAGTTTGTAGTGCTGCTACTGGTGGATATAGACCGTTGTATCCTAGGAGATAGACGCCACTGAGTCCGTTAGCACCATAGCGGGGCGAATCTATCTTAAGGACATAGTATCAAATACTAGCCTCGGTCCAGGTTCTTTATTTATCATTATTATTTTATTACTTTATTTTGCATATTTAATTAAATATAGAGTTGCATATTTAATTAATGATTTCTTAGCATGTTGTTAATTATCTCATGACATATTAGTATAAGGTTTATTATATCTTAAATGTCACATGAAGCATATATTTACCAACAATCTTAAGACAGAATCATTCCTTGCGTAGATTTTATTATATGTTTGTATTTAAGATATAAACAAGTAGATATTATACTAATAGTTGAGATATAATAAAATAATGTTTTATACATTATTATATGATAATATGCTAAATATTGATGTGTTCAATATTATATGAAATTGAAGCATGTTATATAAGTAGGATATTGAATTATTTATATAATTCAAAATTAGTTTAATTATATTAATTTTGTAATATGATGTAGTATATTATATTATCTTAAATTTGTATAAACAAGAGTTCGAAAAGGGTACTTCGTTAGTTTTACCAATGATTGCATAAGATACTGTTATGTATATTTGCTATGAAGCAAATATAAAGCCTTAGAAATGTTTTAAACATTACAAAAATGAAGTTAAGAATCAACTTAGCAAAATGATCAAACACTTGTGCTAATATTTGTTCAGAACATGATATCATTTATGAAGACATGATGAATGCTATTTTGATAAATTTTGGTTTAACTCAGAATTTGTGGGGGGAAGTTTTGCTTTGCACAAATTATGTTCTCAATAAAACACCTTAAAACTAATGTGACACCATATGAATTATGGAAAGTTCAAAAACCTTCCGATAAATTCTTAAAAGTGTGGGGGTGTTTAACTAAGGTTGCAATTTCTGCTCCTAAGAAAGTTAAAGTGAGACCTAAAATGTAGCAACCTTATGGGTGGGTGCAAAAGGCACCGACAGGCTACCACACCGGGCGAGCTATAGGTGCACAGTCCCATATCGCATAGGTAAGGGAAATGTGAAGTGCTTTTATGTGGTAGAGTTATCTTCAATTGGTATAAGGTCTCGTGTCCAGAGCAGACAATATCATATCATGTGGTGAAGTGGATTGTTGCATAAAACCTTTGATAGGTTATACTCATAACATCTGTGCATATCATTTTCTTGTGCATAAATAATACAATGAAAATAAGGATGAGCTTAGACGTAACAAGAGGGTTAGAACGTCTAAATCTTTTGGTTCTGGTTTTCTAGCATGTTTATTGGAGAATGAGTCACAAAGGTTTAAGGAAGCAAAGTATTCTCATGAATATTATTATTTCCTAGATTAATTATGTGATATAATTAATCATGTGATATAATTTTGAACTATATAGTTGAATTACTTAGTGTGCATAATAATCAAATTTTACAATATAGTTTATTTAATGTGTGAAATTATTAACTTTGTATATGAGTTCATGACTGGTTTATGTATTTAATACAACAAACAAAAATTGACTAGTCCAACTATGTTAATTCTCCTGATAGTCAAGGGAAAAAGATCTATACTAGT